ATGAATACAATCATAAACCAATAAACTACCCCTCAATAAGAGCATATTATCATCAAAATCATAAACAACCATTCATAAAGCATGTTACCACAAGTGATGTCATTTCCATTCATAAAACAAGATAAAAAGGTTCAAGACATATCTATAGTCAAATAAAAACATAAAATGCATAACCCTAAGATGTCCATCCTAAAGATTAGCTAAACTAAAGAAATATCAAGTTAGATGGCATCAGGTGGGGGTGGAGGAAAAAAATGGTTAACAAGCTGATCAAGCTTTCCTTCCACGTTAGTCATTCTCCCTCTCATTTCTATCCGGAAACCAAACCAAAAAAGTTGGGGTACAGCTGCTGCATCTCAGATATCATTAACTCCATGGTTTTATGGTTAGTTCTTTGCATGGAGACTCGAAATGGTTTTGGGTTGTCATCTTCATGTTCTTCTACCTCTTGTTCTACCATTTCTTGATTTGTATCACCTTCTTCTTCATCCCCTTCTTGTTCCCCTTTCTTTATCCAAATGCCATTTCTAAACAAATAGTCCATTTTTTCAAAAGAGGCTTTGGTAAGTGTAGTCCCCACCAGGAACCATTCCGAACCTAAAGGATGTAAGATCAATATTGTTCCTCTTCACCAATCTGGTAATTAGAGCACCATGAGGAACTCCTGTAGTTGGTGAGTAAGGCTTGATTATGCTTCGGAAAATGGATCTTCCTAGGTTCACCCTTTTTCTGTTAAGAAGATAGTCGAACTAGGGAAGATCACTGGCAAGAACATAAGATTTAGAACCCTTCCTCTGAGCAATAATGCGAGATATAATCCACTGCAATGCTCTATTCTTTGGTGTAAGAGACCCCACTTTAATTTGATTTTCAGTGCAATTAGGGGCAATTGTGGCTCTAACTAAGGCATGATTCACATCTAGAAACTCATCATCTCCTCCTTCAGATATATCTAATACAACACAAATATCCCTTGGAGAAAACTGAAATAACACCCCAGCAACCATAGTTTTGCATTTATTCCCTCTTGGTTTCAAATTAGCATAAAATTGATGAACAACTTCATAGTACACATGCTCTTTAATTTCTACATAATCCTTCCACCCAAGTTCCCTAAACATTTGTTCAACATGCATATCTCCTTGAGGAAATTGACTGAATTTCACACAATTGCAAGATAAAACAACCATATTCTTGATAATTTCATACTTTACAGTAGCTTCGGTATCCAAAAAGAGATTTGATTAGGAGATGTTACCTTCTTCTTCTTGAGCTTGACCACCGATGCTAGAACTACCCACTTGTTTCCTTTTACTTCCAGCCCTTCTTGAAGCCATGAGAGAGAAATCCCAACAGCCACACCAAAAATATAGCAGATCCCACACAAATTGAAGTGAAAAGCTTGAGGTTTTGTGTTGGGTAGGCAAGGATTTGAAGGTATTTGAGTGTTTAAGGGATGAGCTTTGGAGATTTGGAGGGATTTTGGTGTGTGGGAGAGTGAATGGTGAGTTTTGGGGGAGGAGAGGTCGCAGGTTTGGTGAGAAAATGAAACAGATCTAGCTGGTTTGTGCGGGGGGAGAGAAACCCGAGGCCTTTAAAAATCAGTTAAATGCTAAATTTAGTCCCTCAACTTTAAGAAATGCACATTTTTGATCCCTCAACAATTTTTTGCATTATTTTTATCCCTCGGCTCTAAAAATTGCA